ACCTAGATTTCGTACCAAATACAAATAGGAATCATCAATTAAAGTGTATTCTACTTTTTGCATACTTGCAACTACTTTTTGAATTTGAACTATCAATTTTTGTAATACTAAAGTTTCGTTCTTTTTTGGTACTGTCGCCATTCATCCATAAAAGCTGTAGGGTTAAACGTACATAATCTTCTGAGATGCACGTTTAGCTCAAGATTGATAAATAAATAAATCTTAGGAAAAAGCTACAAATCTGGACAGAGGAGTTAAATAAGTTCCCATGGAAATCCAAGCTTTGAACAAACATGACATCAAATCTTTACAAATGATATAACCTTATGCAATTAAATGGAATTCAAAACTACTTCAGATCTTCCATGGCTAATGATCCACACAAACTCCATTAGAACAGAAGGAATCTACTCCTGTTTACGCAATTACTTCTACCTTCTCTTCTTTCTTTCTACTTTTCCTTGACTCATTGTTGCCGTTTGTTTGTTGTTCAGCCTTTTTCTGTGCTCGAATCATGGCTCGTCTTACACGAGGACGCAGCTCTCTTACATTTCGAGGTGGCATGATATAGGGCTCAAGTGGGCGGTCGCCAAAAGGGTGTTCATCTCCAGCAAAAATTCTCAGTTTCCTATCTCTATCCTGCATCCATGTAATAGATCAAATAAAGCTACTGGTAAAATATGAAATGCCTGTAGAGATTCCGAAGCTAATTCAAACACCAAATAAAGTTAAAAACTAACATCACGCAGTTCGTTTCTTGGAAGCATGCGCAATACAGCTTTCCGAATGACTTCTGTAGGGTCTTTGGCCAACTGATCCTTCAAACTTCTTTCCTTGAGGTTTCCAACATACCTACAAGCCACCACAGTTGAAAACAAAATATGAAATTCTGTGGACAACATATTATTATGAAAGCAACACAAAATTGATTTCCTGAAACCAAGCCATTTAATTTAAGAATTTTTTTAACAAACTTGAGAATCCATCCCAATGACCAACTTTAAAAAGACTTACTACTTACCCAGTATGCCAGTGATAAAATTTATCAGTGAGTTTTCTTCCAGTGACACAGATATCCTTAGCATTAAGCACAATACACATATCCCCATCATCTCGATTTGGTGCATATGTTGGCTTGTCCTTGCCTTGAACTACGGTAGATATTTGAGATGCCAATCTCCCAAGAACCTAGTAGAAAAAATTACAAGAGTTCTATTTGTTTCTAGCCATATTATCTCTAAAATCTTGCATAACCAATCAACGCCAAGTGAAGAGTTAATAGAATACTACATTCTAACCTGGCCTTTGGCATCAAACACTCTCCACCTCAGACCTTCCAAATTGATGCGTCTCAAGCCAGCAAGTGCTTTCTGGAACATTGTTAATACATAACAATATTAATCTCTGAATATGTATGACAAAAGTATGTATCCCAAGAACGCCAAGGGGAGGCTATTATAATTTTCTTTTTATAAATTAAATAGAAAACCAAAAATACGAGAACCCTCTATCCTCTGCTACAAAAGTCTTCCTATTTCTTCCTACTATAATTTATACTTCCTAGGTGATAACTAAAAAAACTGATAAGAACAGATACTACACTTGATCTTAGCCAAAAGGCAGAGAAAGGTATTCCTAGGTGATAACTTTCAACCAAGTTCTCCCAAAGATCTGAAAAAGAAGGTCCAAAAAGAAATCTGGACGAATAAAAATGATAACAAAGCTATCTATCAAAAAGACCACACTTCCAAGTATAGAAGCAATGAACAAAAATGCTTTTTTTTTTACCCCAGAGCTCCACCAACAATCTATCAGTACCCAATAATTCTCCGGTTTCTTTCCAACCAACTATTCCACGTAACAAGAAACCAACATGGCAATGTAAAACAACTTCCTCAATTATCCATTCAAACACTCCATATCGTAGGAAAACCCTTGGATGTACATCGTCACAAAATGCAATTTTTAAGTCTTCACTTCTCCTTCTAACAAAGTATGCATATAGAAACAACTCAAACTAACAGGAGGAATCCCTTGGAATCATCCAAATCCAGCAACCATCATGAATGCAACTCAAACTAAAGCCTCTTCTTCAAAACCAGATAGACAATTAAAAAACATAATCTCAAGCACAACTTAATGGCACATCCAACAGCAAAATAAATTGTCAAACTTCACAATCTCATCAATTGATTGCACAAAAACGAAAATAAAATCCACAAGTAAATTCTACTTGTACATACACTTGGCGTGCAGTAAACAGGAAGCCAATTTCTAACCTATAATGAACACAAGTACGCATCACAAAACCATTTCCTATAAGTAATATGCATAAGTGTTCAAGTAAAGAAACATTGCCTTCATGTTGCCATTGAAAGAAGTAGCTGCTTGGCTTGCCATGTCTGAATATCCTAGTTTTTTCACTGTTCCACATCACAGGTAGATTAGATATTCATCAGTTCATTCAATTCGTAACAATTGACATACAAAACAATTCACTATAATCTGGAATAAAGATTACAGAAAGCAAGCCTCTGAAAATTGCATAAACTGGGGAGGGGTTTTGGGATTCTGGGCAGGCCGAAGAGGATGCGAGGTGACGGTGAGCGAGGGCTTTCGATTTGAGTCTAAAATCTGAATGGGAACTTCGAAGCGTTGAGATGGAGGCGGCTTCCACTCCGGGCTGCTGCGCAGGGGTTTTTTTTTTGAAGTATAATACAGTAGAAATTAAATAATTTTAAAAATAGGCTCATTTTTGTTCATATCTATACATATATCTATGTGTATACTATATATAAATTAGGCCCAGGAGAATTTTTCTCTATCAATTTATGTCTTCTACATGTTTATTTGGTCATTCAAACTTCAATTTTACCCTCAAATTTTTAATATATACCCATTTTGCCCTTCAAACTTTGATTTGACAGAAGATGTGACTATTTGAATCTTTGTGTTTATTGAGAGTAGAGGTACGATCGAGACCATAGAATTGTGTCTTCGCATATGAGTGTGATGGAGATTAGAGAGTTGTGTCACACATTCTTCGAAGTTAATACAATAGAGGTACAAAACTTTGTCGAAGAATACAATAGAGGTACAGCTCTTCGACAAAGCGATGCATCCATTCGTATATAGGTGCAATTGAAACCATCTATAAATTAAAAGAAAACTAAAGCAAACTAAAGCAGATTTGATTTGATAAATTCCATATATAAATTGCCACAGCACCATTTTATAGCTTTATATGTCCTATTTGATTTGATCTTTAATCCACTACAAGTCTTATTAAAATTTTAGCCACAAATATAGTGACAAACCATTTTAACAAAATTCCACTAAACAGTGATGTGAACAGGATGTTAATCATCTGGTTTCATCGACCTCCAAGAAGTGCTTGAGATTATACTCAATAATGTAATTAAGAGAATAATTGACTTTTAGACTCCCTAACAATACACCAATTTTCTAAAAAAAAAAAACAAGTAAAAACTGAACTAAAACACACTGTTTATAGTCTTTCGCCCAAAAAAGTACTGCAAATACATTACAACAACAGATAAATAGACGATGGAGATTGAAATGTGAATATCAAACATAAAGTTACAAAGATCTAAAGTAAAGATAACAGCTTGGTTAATTGCCCAGATTCTCAGATTCTGAAACAGTAGCCTCATCATCCAAATCTTGGATAAAGATTTCGGTGGGTTCAAGGCAGCCTCTTAGAGATTCATGCCCCAGTTGTGCTCTTTCGTTGTCTCCAAAGCCGAAGATCTTTCCTTTGTCAGTAACCACGACGGTGTGATACAGACCAGTACTGATTTGAGAGACGCGGTGAGATCTCAAGCTGTCGAGGCTTCGAGGTCGCAAGACTTTATCAGATACTCCTCTGTCTGGAAATCCAAGGCTGCCAAACCCCATCCACCCGAAACCATAGACAATGCCAGTGTCAACCAGCACAAATGTTTTCCTCTTCCTTGCACATACCTGGAACGAGAACAAAAACAAAAACGTTAACCAACAGTGTTAAATAATACGATCCTAACACCAATGTTACCAGCTATATGACATCAAAATTTTCAAGCCTGTGATACGAGCTACTTCAACTTTTTTTTTTATCCGTGCATGTCCAAATCAACTTACGCGCACCTCGACTTAAATCAAGCAATTAGGAATTACACAGAAAGCTAAACAGAATCAGTTTAGTAACGATCCAGACCTGCATGGCGAGTTGGTTCTTTAGGCTGTTTAGGGGTTGGGGAATAGTCTTATCAATCTCATCGCCATGGCCCAGTGCACCACAGTAGCCTTTCCCCCAAGTATATACCTGCAATGAGAAATCACCAAAATAGATATCATAACATTTGTTGCAATGGTTCACCAAAACTAAAATTTAGGATGTTGATAATGTTGCTATGGCCATCTCGAGTTTGAGAACTAACAAGTCCATTAGAGTCTAATGCTACCGCATGCTCGTCACCAGCAGAGACAGAAACGATATGAATATCCTTTAATTTAAATGTCTGGAGGACACGAGGCTGGAACTCATTGTGCTGCTCTCCGTGGCCAAGGCAGAAGTTAGATCCTGACCCAAAAGAGTATACTCTTCCATCGTTAACTACGGCCAATACATAGCTTGGACCGGCAGCGATCTGAATAATAGATCCAATTTCCACAAGCAGTTGAACAATCTTCGGAGTGGGTCTCTCTTGAGTATCACCATGGCCAAGCTGTCCATGTGGGTTGGTTCCACATGTGTAGACGTGGCCTTGTCTTGTTAAAAACACTGAAAAGTTATGCCCCACAGAAACCTGGAGAAAATTTATATGTCATAGTTACTAAGTAGTTTATCAGTTTATGAACAACAATCAACCACGAATACATGTTTATTAATTCCCCTATTTCATAAAACTTCATTCCATCAATGAAATATGAGCTTCCTCTCAAAAAAATAAAAAATTTATATTAAGGCATGCTGTTGTTAACTTTTTAACTGCAATCAAGTTCTAACATCAGTCTTCAATTCTCTCAGCATGTTTCTCTTTTGTTGTCGTTCTCTCATCCTCTTTCCTACTTTTGCTCTCTCTAGATGTGCTCCTCTTCTCAACAGCATATGGTTTTCTTATATGTTTTGATAGGTTTTGAAGTTACACATTTGGAATTTATACAGCTGAACAAAAACACTTCTATGGTGTAAATTGAGGGAAAATAAAGAGGCAGGAACGCGGACGACTAATCTATGTTGCTTTTGCATCATATTGGTGGTGATTTCAACATGTCCATGAGGTATCTCAGAGAGGGAGACATATTAGGAACATGGCCCTCATTAATGATCTTGATTTTATTACATTACTCCTAGAAGTTGACAGTTTACTAGGTCTGACATGAAAAATCCCACCTTTCTTCAAACGTTATAGGGCTGATGGGATAGTTTGGCTGATGAAAGTCGGGCTTGTTTTCCTTTCTTGAATAAAATTGAAAGTAGTGGTTACTTGGAAGAATGATAATTTTTTACAAATAACTAAAAAATGACCGATACTAGCATTAAGGCATAACGACACATATATACAGCACTAGTACATGGTGATAGTAGTAGTGAAGAAAATAAAAGCAAGCCATGAAGAAAGATTTACTTCCTAAAGAAAAAACAAAATATTTCTTGCTAGCAATGACAATCTTACATATGATGTCGCTATTAAATTTGAAATTCAAACAAATCGTGGAAGTCCAATATAAATAAGTGATAACTTAAACATAGATTTATAGGCATTTTACCTGCTTGCAAGGAATTCCATTTAATGCTTCAACAAGTTTAGGTCTAAAGATTCGGCAACTTGTATCTCTGTGCCCACAACAAAATGATGAATTTTCTCCACAGGTGAAAACCTATTCATGAAGACAATGCCATATGATTACAAAAGACCCGTTATTAAGAGTGACATCCATGAAACCGTGAACTAAAGTGTCAATGAGTGACAACTAACCATTTCAAAATCTGGTTAACAATGATTGGCAAACAAATGTTGCTTTCATACACCAGTAAGGCTTTTAAATACAACAAAGTGGGATTTTTTTAGCTCAATCCTCTCTCCCCTGGTTTTTAAAGAAGTAATGTCTTGACCATAACTGGTCAGGTTGGAATTACAAGGTAGGAACTAGAATCATAAAAGTTAATTTCACAAATCCAAGCGAGTTTGAAGATTAGATAGAGGAATTTAAGGTTAATTATGGAAATTGGAATTTTGGAAGGTAAGACTGAATCAGCTGCAATTTTCAACATGGTACTTATAATAATTAAAACTAACAACTCAATTAGAGATCAAATTAGCAAATAAGACTGTAAAAATTCCATATCAGGCAGGAAATCACTAAACATCAACTTTTCTTATATTCATTGACCAAGTATCAAGGAGAACCAATAACAGTTTACAGTACATGACAGATCGAACATAGTAATATTATGACATATACCAAATCCAACAAAAGAATCAAATGCTCACCTGTCCGGACTGCGTGACAAATGCAGCATGATTGTGAGAAGCAGAAACTTGCTCCACATATACAGAAGGTGGAAAGTTAATTCGGGTAAACGATACACATTGTGTGGTCTCAGACCCATGACCGAGAACACCACATAAGCTTGAACCACAAGAGTATACGGAAGCATTGCTGATCAGTAACGTATGATATCTCCCAGTTGCAATCTGCATCTGCTAGAATAAAAAAGGAAATAACTACAAATTCTCTTTCACAAGTCAAAACTATAAAAAATAATCAACAGCAAACATGATGTATGAAATCAAAATCATATCATTGAGACGCAGATTATTTTAATACATCTTAAAAATTTGGCAGATGATCATTACCGATGACTATGAGAAACAGTTGTAGTATACCCATTCAGTAGAATAATCAAAACTCTACTTGTACTACTTAGTATCAAGGTCAAATATCTAGGTAAGACCCCTGTTGACACTTCAATCTCATAATTAAAATCCACAGTATAAAATAATAATAAATAAAAATTACAACTGTTAACATTTTAATCAAATCAAGGGGAAAACCTCTGGCTTATTTTATATTTTACAATCTTGATTGAAAGGTTTCATCAAAAGAACCACAAAGAGAATCAGCATATGTAAAATTATTGAATATGAAAGAATAACTAAGTAGGCCTAATATAGAGGAGAACTTTAAACTATTCAGTCATGTTATCTTCTCGTCAAAGTGTGGAGCTAACATTAGCTATATTTCTCAAATATGTACTCATTCAATTTCAAAGTCCATTTTCCATCCAAAATAAACAAAAAATTGATGTCCAATAAATAGCTAGACATTAAGAAAAGAATCGTCCAGAATAATGTAGAATCTAAATTAGAAGATAGTAAATGATTCCTTCATGCAAGTACGCAAAATCCAAGCATACTCATTCGAGTAAAGGAAAAGAAAAATAGTTCTGGAAGAAATTATACATTTCCTTCTGAGGTCTCAACAATTTTGGAAGACTTTTCCACCAATTGCAAGAACCTGTAAACCCGTTTCCACTTCCCATGACAGCGATCAAAGAGCTGTTTCTGGGAATCTCCTCCCATTCTGGAATAAATGTTGTGTGATATACATAATTGAAACGCTGCAAAATCAACTAATGACCGAAACTTAAGAGGGTACAACTCATGGCTCCCTCCAAACATCTTGCAAGTCAACTCCAAGCAAACAAGATCACGAGCATTAAGCCGACCAGAGGTTAGAACTTCTAAAATCAAATGTGAAGGCAAGTCCGCAAATGAAGTTGAATGAAGCCATTTAGCCATATTTTCAGTCAAATTTCTGACTTTTCAAGCTTGGATGAAATCTCAAACAAAAAACCCCCTGAAATACAGTTAACACTGATTCCCAGCTACTTACAGAGACGCTGATAGATGTGACAGATTACAGCCAACAGACAGGGGTTGTCAAATTTTTAGGCGAAATCTTAAGCAATTAAAGCAACATATAAAGAACACATCTGAAGGGAGGAAAATACGGGAAATAGAGTACAAAAAAGGCGTTCTTGAAAAGAATTTCAGCCGTAATGAGTAAAATGATTGGAAACTAATCATCAGATGGGACAGATGACAGCCGCACAAGTTATCCCAAATTTGAAGAAATGCAATATCTTTCCTGCAAAAATCAATAAAACCAGAGGAACCAATTAGAATGCAGTAAATTGCCTCAAATATAATGACAGGGTATCATTTCAAGTTCACTCAATAGTAAAAGATGGTTCATGCTAAAAGTTAGTGGAGACAAGTATAATAAATTGGTTCAGACAACCAATGTTACTAACATTAAAAAAGTGAAAAAAAAGGATGAATTTGGAAATGAACGGCAATGTTGATGAGAGATGAGGCTTCATGATTGCAAAATCTGGAACGCGACCAAGCATGGAAGAGTATTAATACAGAAATCAGAGGCGGGGATGATAATTACACTGATTTTTAGTGCCGGTCACTCACTTTTCTGCAGAAAACTGGAAAATTAACTTCAACGACAAATGCAAAAGGATAAGGGATCATGGGAAGGAGGTATATTAGCGACAATTTTGGATTCTCACCGACAGAGAGAGAGAGAGCAGGCGAGGGTGATAATTACAAAGCTTTTAAGTGCCAGTCACTCGCTTTTCTACAGAAAAGTTAAAATTAAATTACTTCAATGAAAAATGAAGCAGGAATGAGAAGGGGATTATATTGGCGACAAAACTTGGATTCTGGCCGAGAGAGAGAGAGGGGAACTAGCAGCAATTAAAGTGGAGAGAAGAACAAATTAGGACTTAAAAGAACTTTCTTTTTCTAAATAACATACTCTGTTCCTTCATTACAAGGCAGGGAACTTCAAAACAAAGATTAAAGGATTTAGACGATGTGTCTGATAAAATAAATAGTAACTCACAAAAGACAATTCTCGCACAAGTACGCCTACCCAAATTCTTTTAGCTCTCTATAGTCGTCAACGCACCATTGATGATCATTTTGGAGTTGGACCTAACATCCGTGTATTCTTTAGTACAACTCTGATAACCTAAGAACAGATTTCACACGAATCACCTCAACAAAGTTCTTACATGACCTAAAAGAAGCTCGTGCTTTCACAAAATGGCTAAGAACGCGTCAAGTTCAGCTACCATCACACCCACATGCCAAATTGAAAGGCCCCATTAAGAAATGTAAATCATGGTTCCTGAAAGAAATCCGAATTTCCTACTTTCCACCATATAATTGAACAAAAATAAATGGGTCGACCACAAAATTGGTGGTTACGGGAGGAATTCGAGCCCTCGGCGACAACTAAACTCCTTTAATCCACCGCAGAGATAGGAATCGAGATTTTAAAGGACCCCAAGCAAGATCCTCGGGTTTTTGGTCAGACATTATGCCTTATAATCGATTTCATAACAATTCAGATCTTGCTTTTCGCCGACAACAGAACATATGCACGCACGCACACGAAACAACGATTAGAATGAAGATCACTATCCGCTGACTGAGTATGCATAGAATCAATTGGAAGAAACAAAAGAGAAATTGGGAAATAACCTGTGGATGGAGATGCTCGTGCCCTCTGTCTTTTGTAGAAGAAAGTGCAAAAATCCTCCTCGATTTATGGAGAGAGTAGGAACTGCATTGCCTTCAATATACACACACAAAGCTTCAATTTTGAGAGAGAATATGCTCGCCAGTCTCTCTTTTCCTCCGTGAGTAATAATATTATTTAAATATACTTTCCCTTCTCTTGTTGAACTTTAAAATATTCTACTTTTTTTAGTTAAACCAAAATCAAACTTAGAGCTCGAGTTAGTTTAATTGATTAAGACAAATTGAAAGATCGTATTTGAATCTTCCTATTATTGTACTAAAAGAATAAGTGTGTAATAGTAATAAGTGACTTATTCGTTATTTAAAATATTCGTTATTTAATTTTTTTAATTCAACACATGTAGAAATTAAGAGTCGAACACATTATTGTAGTATGTTTTAATCAGTTAGTTATGTTTGGATTAGTTAAAATATTCGCTTCTAATCCTTAAATTTTGCAAATAATTATTTGCCTTTATGTAGAAGTCTAATCTAGCATATGTTGTTTGAGATATTTTTTAAGACAAATATTTAAAATAAAATTAGATGTCAAATTCTACTAAAGTATTCATATTCTATAGTTTTGTATACAAAGTTTTGGAACTAAAATATAAAAGTTTGGACTAAACTATTGCAAAGTCTAAATACCATCACAAAATAAAAATGAAAATTCAGGATCAAGATTCAAAGTATGTCATATTCCTTCATGGCTAAGCATTTTTTAGTGATGAATGAGCTTAACATCACTTTAACTTAGGATGCAAGAATGCTATTCAAGTCCAAGAATGGAATTTAATCTTGGATTTTCTTAACCAATATTGATATATTGTGCTTTTTCTATTTGTAAATTTCTACTAACAACCATTGTGCACTCAAAATTGCCAACAATCTAAGAAAATTTTGTTTCTTTATTCAGCAATCAACTATTTAAATAATATAGGATGACAAACATGTAGTTTATTTAGATCTTAAGTTGTAAAAGACTATGCTATCTCTACCTAATCTTATAATACTAATTAGTTGGTAAAATACGTGTATCATAAGAAGTTGATTCTTAGAGAACTAGGAACTTAGATATTGACCAAGAATAAGAATAGTGATAGTTTAGGCAATCTATTTGAAGAGTAAGGAAAAATAGCTTCATGCTATATATATATATATATATATATAGTGCATAGTAAGTAACATGAGGTCAGACATAATTTCATTTTAGAATGTTTTGTTTGAACTAGGAAATGTTTAATTAGAGTAGGGTGAGATATCACGTCAAAAGAATAAGAAAAAAAAGGTAAGACATTTGTTGGAACTTATAGGGTTTGCTTCTTTTCCTTTTTAATCTTATTTATAAATATATAGATAAAAGATGACAGTTTGAAGTTGCTAGTAGAGATATGTTAGCTAATCACCATGTATTACTCATAACTAATCTCAATCAACTACTAAGATACCAATGGTATATTAGGCGGTTGCTAGTAGGATAAGTTGACACTGTAGCGAGATGGGATAGGTCCAACTGCTTTAATCATGCGACAATGCGTAAGTGCGTACTAGTCATGTCTTGTATCGAGTTTAACCAATTTTCAAAAAGTTGAAATGGTATGTTATTATTGTGATGTTCTTAACCATCGTATCCTATTGGCCTATTTTGAGGTGTTGAGATATGAGTCACTTGATTTAACCCTACGACTCTTATCGCCTCATTTGTGTTTGGCTGTAATCCACTTGCACGAAGTAAGTTCTCACTTGGTCGGACCATGACTTATCTCATTTTACTTGGTTGTGTGTCCACCTAGGTCTTATATGGTTAGGTTACCATATGACTCATGGTATCGTATGAATCATGGAGCACCAATCTTACCACAATAATCACATTCACCTTACTTAAGAATCAAAGGTCTCAGCTTCAACTCATAAGAGGTACATGAATGAACCGATACCACAAGAGAGATTTTGAGATCATGGAGCGTGGTTAAGAAATGCTTAAAATAATTAATAGATATTACCTATACTAACAAAACGCACATTTCTTTTCGGTGGCCACTTAACCATAAGAACTTCAAAATTAAGCATGCTTAGCTTGGAGAACTATTGAGTTTGTGACCTTCTAAGGAATTTTCTTAGGAAATATGTAAGTGAGGACAAAACGGTGGCACAGTCAGATCGTAAGGACGAAACGAAATTCGAATCTTAGGGATCTTAGGCCAAGATATATGTCAATCAACATGTGAACAAAGGGAAGTTATGGTAAAAGTTTTACCTTCTTTTTTTTTTTTGGTCTGTCATAAATTCATCTTATCTCTTCCCATTAAAAAAAAAAAAAACTCTAAGCTTTAATGAAAATGGAAGGTGTGAGGAATGGAACTTGGGGGTTGAGGTACGGTCCATTTAAGGGTGGGCCCTGGGCGATGGTTCCTGGAGGAGTCGAGTCTTCAACCAAGCAGAAGATGCCCCAAATCCATTTATGACGCTGCCAAGACAAAACGCGGAGTCGGCCATGGGGGATTCAGCACAGTGGCAGCACAAAATTTATGGTCGCGGGAAAGGGGAAGCAAGAGCTATTGGCCCTCAACCCTTCAATTATTGGGGAGAAAATAATGCTATATCGTATTCTCTTCATTTTCCCTCTTTTTCACACGCCCAACATTTTGAGTTTCTTTTTATTGTTTAATATTACTGGTTCCCCAATCTGCGGAGTCAAGACAAAGGGGAAAAAAAACAAAAACAAAGGCAAAGTACACTGTCATTTGTCAATTTAAAAGACAAAATTGAAAGATTTTTCTGATTATGCTCAAATTACGGTTTTCCTATGCTCTTCTATCATTCGCATTTGTTGGAGTTGCAACGCCAGAACGCAGAAAGATATGTTAGACAAGACCATCATAATCATATTTATGAGATCTCTTCTGGGATGGGTGTCCGAGTTTGTGCATTTATGCCATCTGGGTACTTTATATTTGGTTCCTTTTCTTCTTAATTTCACTGCTTTATTCTTTTGGATGCCTCGTTTTCTTTTGGGAGTTAATTTAATACTAAGAAGCTGCGGCTTGCCCCAAGAAGTTTCTGCACATGGGGTTGTCAGTAATCACAGTCTGAGACCTTTTCCCAAACCCTGCGGCTGTTGATTTATATTTCGCTTCTTTTTGGAATCAGCTGTCGCTTTGAGTTGGATTTATCACTTTCGCATCTGCCTTGGGAGGTGAAGTAGAAAGCTGTTGAATGGGACTTTTCAGAGTCGGCTTCTGGATTTTTCTTGGGAATGTCAGTAAGATTTCCAGGGGATCTTAAGAAAAGTTGAGTGCATTAGATTGAGTTTCCTCCAGTTCTGAGAGAGTGAAAGTGAAAGCATTCACTGATGGGTTCTTCTTGTTCCCTCAAAATATGGTGGTTTGTTCTCCAAGGAATTTTCTTCTGTTAGATCAATTTCAGGTTCAAAGAAGCTGTTCCGTTTGTGGGGTATATGCAAACTCAGATTCTCAAACTGGAAAGGTCAGGAAGATTGCCTTTTTTCTTTTAAAGGAAAAAAAGAACAAGCAAGATTTGTTGGAGCTCCTCCTGGGGTCCATTTGGCTCTATTAAGTTTCTCTCAGACGGGAAAAATTAATTCCTTCTGATATCGATTGGAGAAAACTGGAATATAAATTTGTACTCGTTCCTTAAGTTGTCTCTTTCTCAAGGCGTTGGGAACTGATACTCTCTCCTATATTAGTTCAGTGGTCAAGAAAAGCGTCCCTCTTAATCTTGGGAATTGAGGAATTTTTTCTTCTCTCTTCTATCTTCTTCCAATCACTGTAGTTCTGGCGAAGTCTGCTGATACTGGTATAGGCCTGGAAATCTTGAGAGGGTATCTTTTAACTTGTAGTCCTTGAGATTCATTGGAAATGGCTGAAAATACCCAAGAGGGGCGATCTTTGGCTTTGACGCCTACTTGGTCAGTTGCTTCCGTGTTGACAATTTTCGTCGCAGTTTCGTTGTTTGTAGAGCGCTCCATTCATAGGCTAAGCTCTGTAAGCATATTTCTGGATCCTGCTTGTTTTTATGCTTTAAACAAAGAATCTCGCCTGTTAACCAATCAAAAGTTCCATTTGAAACTTTACATCTTTTAATCAAACAATTAACTTTGGAGCTTTGATTATTTTTTTTTAAATGATGGAGTTTTGATTCTGGATGTTAGTTTCCCTTGTTTATGCTAATACGTGTACTAATATGTCTGTAATTTAGACTTCCTTGTGAAAATATTTTGACTCTGATTGCATGCCAACTTAGCTGTACATTATTCTTGGACATTGAAGATGGTAAGCTTGGTGCTACTTAAGAAATATTTGTATAATTTTGTGTGTGTGTGCGCATGTGTGTGATTCTACTCTTTAGAAGATACAAAATCTGCTAAGATGTACTTCAGAGACTCAAAACATTTTTGCCCTGATCCATTGTGTTTCGCTGCAAAATTTTGTTCTAATCATGATATATTTTGTTACTTTTTCTCTTTCAGTGGCTGGGGAAAACTAATAGAAAACCCTTGTTTGAGGCAGTGGAGAAGATGAAAGAAGGTAAACGGACTATGTTATTTGCTCAATCACTTCAGACATGTTTAAGGATAGTTTCATATGGTGGCTAGTTTTAGCGACATATCTCTATTTTGCTCATTATAACTTCAATCGTTTGCTTTGCAGAGTTAATGCTGCTTGGATTTATTTCTTTGCTTCTGACAGCAACATCAAGTGTAATATCAAATATCTGCATTCCATCGAAGTTTTATGACACCTCTTTTACTCCATGCACCAAGTCAGAGATTGATGAACAAAACGAGGACAATTCTTCATCTGAGGAGCGGAAGCTATATATGGTTTCTGTTTTTCCACACGTGTTTAGGAGGATGCTCAACGTGAAGAAAAATACTTGCAGAGAGGCATGTTATGGATTTAATTTCTTCTCTTTCATATAGATAAAAACCACGTCTTCTTCTGACCCAACAGTCAATTGAATATTTGAAACTTTCCTAATTTTGCAGGGTCACGAGCCCTTTGTTTCATACGAAGGACTCGAGCAATTGCATCGATTTATCTTTGTAATGGCAGTAACTCATATATCTTATAGTTGCTTAACGATGTTGCTGGCAATTGTCAAGGTTAGAGAATTTTTATTGCCAGTTTATATTAAATCTTGTTGAAAAGTTTTATTATTTTCTGAAATCATATGCGAAGGGATTTAAGGGTTTGTTTTCTTACTTGTTTATCCACTTGACTTTGTAGTTTCAAAGATATACCCTAATTATATTTCATATCTTCAACAAGTTTAGTAATGATCATAAAGGCCCTAGATTTTCTTCACTCATTCAGTTGACTGCATTCTCTAAAACCATTTAGATTAAATTTGTAAGGAAGTTTTTTTACTTTCTGTTATATTTTAATTGGGGTTGGCTTGAGAGAGCAGTAATAGAAATAAAACTTTGATTACGTAGCTTAATATAAAGTGCACCTGTTTATTGGACATAGTGTGAAAATATTCTTCTTTTGATGATTAAGCATAATAGGGATCATTCTGACTTTTATCTTTGCAAAGTTATTCACATCTTAATATAACTTGCTTGTCGTGTTTTGAACATTTTTAACTTTACTTTTACCAAATGAACGTAGAGTATATCTGTCTGATATTCAATCCAATATCTATTTGTATTCCTTCTTAATGTTTAATGTGAAATTTTAATTTTTTTTTATTCAAGGCATTGACTATGCCATTATTATGAAATCAAATATTGCATTTTGGTTGAAAAATGCTTAGGAGATTTAAAAAATTATAACTATTTATTCTAACTGTTGACATTTGATAATTTGTCCAGATCCACAGTTGGAGATTATGGGAAAATGAAGCTCACATGGACCACCATGATCTATTTAACGGTGAGCTCTATGGTTATTTTGTGTGTGATTCTAAAGTAGCATTTAACTCTATTTATCTTCTCTCAGCATCTAAAAGGGTTCACTAGGATTTTAAGTTATTAAGTTTTTAATATGGGAGTTTGAACCTGGACCTTGAAGGGTATCTCTTAACATGTCAAACCGTTTCTATCAGTCATAAGATTAGATTTGAATTTAAATATATTTGAAAAGAGTTTTTGTTCATTAGCCACAATACTTCCAAGTCTTGCTACCAAGCTTACATCATCTCAGAGATGTATGATCTGTTACATCTGAACTCCATAAAAGTTCTCAAGGACTTCAATTTGTGTTCCCAAGAAATCATCTTGCTCAGCCCATTAGTTTCAGATTGTTCTAAGGGACTATTCATGTGAATTATTTACTTCATAATTGATGGTATGGTATTTTGTATGACCACCTTTTGCTTTCTCTAGATGGTTCGGATTTATTTATTTTTGGGTGAATTTATAATTATTGTTCTACTTGTATTATAGATACAACAAGAGAGAAGATAATGCAGAGACAATCTACCTTTGTTCAATATCATACCGCCAATCCTTTAACCAGGAATAGCTTTCTTATCTGGACAGTAAGCATTCAACTTCTCATCATTTAGACTTTGCTGCATGGCTGCACCTATTGATAGACCCACCACTCAGGATGCATATTTCTGAATACATCTATTCTTACTTCAAAAGTGTGCCTTTTTAAGGGCTTCCATGGTGAAATATTGGGTGTTTTTTACCCAAGTATGTGCTGTAATGAGCCAGATCCAAAAGTATCTGAGATGGAGCATTTAAAAATTAAAACCAATGGAGAACAAGGATCCTTTCTCACTATAGAGTCTACCTTTTTTTTTTTTAATTATAGATCAATGAGAAGCTATAGAGTCATATTTGAAATACATATGGTGCTTAAAACTACATGCCTACAGCTGAAAAGAATTTGGTATATACTTGGTTTATCAACTCATATTTATTAATACTGCACCACATTTTACCCCTTCTCCACTTTTCTGAACCATAGTCCATAGCTAAAATTGACATCTTCTGTGTATTTGGTTGGTTTGGTTGGCGACGGCTAGCAAATTGTTGACCACCCAATGAGACAATTAAAATTATGAAATTAGATGACTCGATGTAGTGGTTGGCATTTATAAGGGAGGATTTCAACTTCGAGTCATTCTAGTCATCAAGAAATGCAAAATTTTCATTATCTGGTATTTTATGACAACGACTTCATGAGTTGGTCTAGTGATCAAATATCAAGTTTTAGCTTTAACTATTTTTGAAATTATGAGTTCATGTCTTAGTTTAAAAATTAAATATTAGTGTCCTATGTGATCTCTAATCTTAAATGTCGTAGGATCTATCTGTAGTTCCTTAAGACTATGTCTGCATAATCTGGTGGAACACCTACTGCTGGAAGTGCTTTTGCAATGGGAGAAGCATCCTAATCTTTTTTTCTTTGAACTTGGGTTTTATATCCACCTGATGAATTTCAGTCTCTCTCTTCCTGTTCTATCAAAATTATACTGCCATTTATACTTATTGATATGAACTCTTCTTTGAAGTGGTTAAATTGGTAATTGCAGACATGTTTCTTTCGGCAATTGGGGTGTTCTGTTGTTCGTGCTGACTACCTCACACTTCGCAAAGGCTTCATCACGGTACATTTACATGTTTAAGTGCCCTATAATGTTTGAGGCATATACTTCATGCAATCCAGTTAACTTCTGCACTCTTTTTCTTCTTTTATGTCTTTCTTTTTGTTGCTAGTTCTTAACTTGAGACAAAGATTTCCCAATAGTTATACAAGTTATTTGTTTGAATTGCTGATTTTCTTTCATGTTTTTGCATTCACACTACATTTTAGACGATGTGGCTTTTTCAAATTTACAGTTGTTTGTCCATTAATGAAAATTTGTTTCATTTTTTAGTCATCAATACTTACCACCTTATTAACTGCAGAATCACAAGCTCTCATCAACATATGATTTCCATAGTTACATGGTCCGTTCAATGGAGGAAGAATTCCAAAGAATAGTTGGTGTGAGGTATTTGAAGTGTCTGTTATTTTCAATTTTAGAATCTATACGCATATGGTAATTCTGTTCTTTCTACTCATTGGTATAAAAATAAACGAGTTCAAGTTCAGTTATTACTCTTTGCAACTATATTATCAGGAGAAGCCCCTAGGGTAGCCTCGTTGGCAATGACTTGTGGTCTCCTGGTCAAACTGGTTTAGAGGCCTCAAGTTCGAACCTTCAGATGAGCTTAATACTAAAAATCTTTGATGTCTCCCGATTTTGGGCTTTAGGACGGGCGTGGGTGCCCCTGCAGATATGGCCAGTTAATT